CGTATTCTTCAGTTTTTAAATAAATATTTAATCACAGGAATCTTCTGAGGTAGATGCTATTGTTATGACAACTTTACAGATAAGGACCCGAAGGAGAAGTAACTTGCTCAAGGTCATACAAATGGTAAAAGGCAGATTTAGGATTCAAATCCAGGGGGTCAAATTGGCAGAACCCATCCTCTTGACCTAGTGCAGCCCATAATAACTTGCTATGGTTTGGATAACACCCCATCCCCACCCTGCACCAAGATGTGTGTTGGAATTCCATCTCTAATGAAATGGCATTGGGAAATGCTGAGACCTTTATGAGGAAGACCCACCTTCATTGTGGGTGGGCACCATCTAATCAGCTGGGAGCGTGGGAAGGACAGAAGAGGTGGAAAAGTCTGTTTCCTTCTCCTTTCTTGTCTCTCTGTCTCTCCCTCCATCTATTTAAATACACATGGCTGCTCACCTACCTGCTTCTCTCAGCCATGCTATGCTGTAACAGGCCAGTCAGGTGTCAGTCCCATGATCTGGACTTTCCAGGCGCCAGAATCATGAGCCACATGATTTATGATCTATTTGTTATAGATTACCCAGTTTTAGGTATTCCTGTTTAGCAATACAATAACAGACTAATGCATAGCTGTTATTAGTATAGTTTTATAGACAGGGATTCACAATAGAGTTTAAGTAAATTGTTCAGAGTAAAACAGCGAGTAAATACGTATTGTTGTCATGGGTTGATAGGGTGATCTGATAATTCACTCTACTACACGTTAGGTTAAGTTCTTTAGCACACTGTGTGATTTTCTCAAATCTGTCCTCCATGTCACTGGCTTGGTTTTCTGTCATGGTCAACTACACTCTTGATATCCCCTTACTGTATTTGTTAGCTGCAGTGGTATTACCTTCATCCTTGCTTTCTTTTCTTAGGCCAAACAACTTTCTTTTCAACTCATTCAATTGTTTTGTCTCTGCTTTGATATTTCGTTTCAAAGAGTTCACTTATCTTTAATTTCTTGAACATGTAAAACACTTTTTCTCTAATAGTTTCTTCTGTTTTCTGGGGATATCTCCTTTCAGAACGGACACTTCATCTTTCCTCCGCATGCAGGAGGGAGAGCGTATCCACTAATAGGGAGTGGTCATGCCACAAACCCTTTCCTCTTTCTCCTTCCTGTCGGGATTTGGGGCACACATACACATGTGCCTGGCATGTTTTTCAAGCTGCCAGGGCTAGGATTTGAACCATGCTCAGTCACATGAGATATAGTTCCCTTAACCACTAGGCTAGGGGTCTGGCTGTCTTTCTTTAAAGTTGATTGCCTCTGAGAGACGACAAGAGAAGACACTCCATGCCATATTCCCCAGTCTTGGCAGGCTGGACCACAAATGCATGTGTGCCCAGTGTCTCAGGATGGTCTTTCCACGTGGGTCCCCTTGTGTTACCCCTGCACCACCACCTGTTCTCCTCTCGAAACGTCAGAAGCTTGGAAACCCTGGATCCTTACTCTGCACAGCATAAACTCCATTCACTGCAGCCCTCACCCTCATTTCCAAGTGTGCTGAGTTGAGAGACCTTCATGGCATGCTTCACCGTACCATCCACCCACTCGGCTTCTAGCTCCTTCTCCCCTTATTGTTTCACATCTCCCCTGCAATGGCCTCAAGGGCTGGAGACAATCTCAATGATGTTGCCTTTCTCTTGACTGGAATAATTGCCTATTTTATAGAAGTCAAGACCTACAGGGCGAAGGGTTCTGCCCACAGTCACAGAGCATAGAAAATTCTATGTAAAGTGTACCTCCTGGCATTCTAAGTCACAAGAAATTAGCATTAGAGGATCCAGTTCCATTCATTGCAAAAGGTGTTTACTGATGGCTTGATTTTATCTAGTGGCCAGGACTATGTACCTGGACTATGCCCCAGCTCTGCAGTGGTTCCCTGGAGTGGAAGGAGGTCAGACCTGGGTGGCTTCAGAGCCAGTCTGGGTCATTCTCTGCATGACCTTCTGTGGTTACTCCTTTATCTGAGCCTTGCCCTCTACATTCAGTAGGAACTGTTCCCGCTGGAACACTGATCAATAAGTGAATTGCCTGAGCTCTGACGACAATCCCAGAAATCTCAGGGTTTGTTTGTTTTTTGTTTTTCTTTGCTTGTTTGTTTTTGGTTTTGCAAACACCATTGCTTACTGGATAGCAGAAGTTAGCCTGCATAAAGAATTCCAGGTCCATGTTTTGTCAATTGCACGAGTTCTTCTCAGCTACATATATGGAGATTGCCTCTACCCTTTGTGAGCTGTGTGACTCAGGACAAGTGACTCAACCCTTCTGGGCCTTGGTTTCTTTATCTGGGAAGTGGGCATAAGAGCCATCAACTTCACAAGGGTGGTTTTTGGGTTTTTAGTGAGATTTTAGGTGAAAGGCACAACATACTGTTTGGCACAGAGAACGCGCCCAATACACATTAGCAATACACTCCCTTTCTCTCAAGCACTCATTTCCAGAAATGAATCAAGAATGGTAGCCCCACTACTATCACCATACCTACTTTCCTGACAACTTAAGAGTCAGGTTAACATTTACAAAGGGCTCTCCTGGTCACTCCCCCATACAAGCTTCAGGACTGTCCCACAAAAGGATCAGGCCAGAGGTGATTTTCCTTATCTAGAAGGTAAAGTGAGGCACTACTGGTCAGATGCTAAGACAGGCAAGGTCGGGCTGGAATCTGGGTCTCCAGCCTTTCAGACTAGCACTCTGCCTCCTGCAATCCTGCAGACCACTTAGTGAGACAGTTGTTTGGCATGGGGTGGTTCAGAAAATTCCCAGAATGTCCTAAGCTCTTGGGGACATCATCACGAGTGCCAATCCTGGACACTGCCCAGCCACACTCCCAGCTGTCCCTTCTCTTCCCCACCCCACTCCTCTCCACCTTACCCCATGTCTCAGGACTCTGAAGGCAGGGATGGAGCAGGGGCTCCTCAGAAGAGCCTTCGGTTCCAGGTTACATGGCCCAGGCTGCGCCTTCCCCTCCTCCACATGGCACTAAAGTTCCAGGTCTGTCACACACCAGACTCTTTTTTATTGCTAGTGGGCATGTATACTTGTCAGAGAAAGAGAGAGAGCACCCCATAGTGGGGCATGGTCTCACAACAATCCTTTTTTTCTCCATCTGTCCATCTAGGCTGGGCTTTGTGCATACGTGCACATGCACCCAGAGTGCTTTTCAAGCTGCTGAGGCTGGTATTCAAACTGTGGTCAGTCATGCAGGATCTGGCTTCTTATACAAGCACTTAAATGCTGGACTGGTAGAGTAGACTCTTTTTTTTTTTTTAATTGCCAAAGGGCATATGCACCCAGCAGAGAGAGACAGATGGAAGAGGGAGAAAGCACCCCTCAGTGGAGCGTGGTCACAACACAATCCCCTTTCATCCATTGCTCTGTCCTCTCAGAATTTGAGGCATGAATGTACCAACACACTTGGAGCAGTTTTCAAGCTACCAGGGTCAGGATTCAAACCATGCAGTTGGCCACGTGGCATCTAGTTCCCTTAACCATTAAGCTACCAAGCCAGCCCTATAACCAGGCTCCTAATCACTGGGAGTACCTCACTCATTCACTCACTCAAGGTAGAGTTCTAGGCCTTTTGGCTCTCTGAGTAGCACCATGGTACTACTGGCAAGAATAAGCACCTTAAGAATGGCGGCAAAAAAAGAGCCAAGAAAAAAGTGGTCGATCCATTTTCTGAAAAAAAAAAAAAAATCGGTATGACGTGAAAGCACCTGCTGTATTCAACATAAGAAAGAGTCGCCAGGACTCATGGGACCAAAATTGGATGCGACGGCCTTAAGGGCCGTGTTTGAAGTGAGCCTTAAAGATCTGCAGAATGACGAAGTCTCATTTAGGAAATCCGAGCTAATCACTAAGGATATTCAGGGAAAAAAACTACCTAACTTCCCTGGCAGGAATCCTACCTATGACAAAATGTCTTCCATGGTCAAAAAATGGCAGACCATGACTGAAGCTCATGTCGATGTCAAGACTACTGATGGTTATTTGCTTCATCTCTTCTCTGCTGGATTTACTAAAAATGCAAACACCGGATACAGAAGACCTCTTAGGCCCAGCATCAGCAGCTCTGCCAAATCTGGAAGATGATGATGGAAATGATGACCTGGGAGGTGCAGACAAAAGACTTGAATGAAGTGGTTGATAAACTGCATTGGCAAAGACCCAGGAAAGTCTTGCCAATCTACCCTCTCCGTGATGTCTTCGTCAGAAAAAGTGAAAATGCTGAAGAAGCCCAAGTCTGAATTGGGAAAGCTCATGGAGTTTCATGGTACAGGTAGCAGCTCTGGAAAAGCTCCTGGGGATGAGACGGGCACTAAAGTTGAATGAGCTGATGGTTATGAACCACCAGTCCAAGAATCTGTTTACAGTCGAGACAAATAAAAAGTCCCGTTTGTGGGGAAGGGAAAAAAAAGCAGCGTTTTAGTTTCTCCCTGTACCCGGCACTTCCTATGGTTTCCTGTTCTCAAGGGCTTCTGTGTCTTGGCCTTTGATCCTCCAGCCCTAGGTAGACCCATTGTGTGCAGACAGGCTGGCAGCCTTCCCCTCCCAACCCCATGTGATTTCCGATTTGGTGCCTAGGCATGGGGTGCATTCTGAAGTCCTTTCCGCACCTATGATCCTGAGAACTTGTGTTTTCAGGACGCTGAGATTTTAAGTAACCCTTTTCCTGATATTGTCCACATCTAAGACTTCTATATATTCTAGGCAACATCTAAAGCTGGCCTCCTCCCTTCTGTGCAGGCCCTCAGCCACCTCTGGGCAGAGTCTGCAGGGGGCAGCCCTGGCAGCAGCCTGCTGCCCCACTGAGTGCACAGGAGGAGCCTACTGCTCGCAGTGGGTTTCTCAAACCCCCACCACTCCAGGCGCTCTGACCCTGGGTTTCAAGCCCACCCTGGCCAAAAGGAGCCACCTTTTGTACCATAAACCCACTGTGCGATTACGTACCTTCACCCCTGGGGCCTTGTCTCCGTATCTGCACAGCTGAGGTTCCAGCTAATTCTAAGGTTTCTTCCAAGTCCACAGATATTTTGGTTCCCAGGAAAAAAGAGGCGGTACCTCCACAGGGGGGGCCTTACTCCAACCCTTCCCTTGGAAGACTGAAACTGGCCACTTTCCTGGTTCTCAATTTCGAAACCGAGAGGCCGAGGGGGAAAGCTGGGCTCGTTAATAAGCACTGAATCTTACTAACGCAGCCCACTTGGGTCCGGTGATTGCGAAATACTCCCTGCACCCATGTGAACATGTAGCAAAGCCTTCCTATCTCTGTTAAAGTGAACTCAG